TCGGATGAGTAGCATAACAGAGCCTCATGAGTTAATGAGCTAAGCACTAACACTGGATGCTGATGAGGACTCGTCATCTTCTACAGGTGTTTCTCTCCATCAGCGGATGATGTACCAACATGGTAGTTTGTCAGAGGAATGTTATAACTGTTTCTGGAATTAATGCTAACATTACTGTAGTCTGGGGGCTCCTGAGTGGCGCAACCATCTAAGCCCCATGTGACAAACACAAGGACACAATTCTCACTGGCCCGCAGAAGCATTTTAATTTTCTATTAATATTGGCCTGTTTCACAATGTGCTGCACTACAGTTCCCTGCAATGTTACGTGCACTCTGACTCTCCAACCCCAACAACAACCTATAAGACAGCAGTGACACTTTGGCTCTACACAATTCTACACAGTTCCCTACCAGTCATACCACATCACCACACACTAGCTGCATTTCAGCTGCAGTTTAACAAACAAACACTTCATATCAGCTCAGCAGTCTTAATGAACTTGCAGCAAAGAAAGGATGTCAAGTATCTAGCTCAAGCAGATAGGTAGGTTTAAAGAACTGAGCTCCTGGAGACATTTAAATTTTAAATATTTTAAGCACTCAAGCAATATTTCAAGGTCCACTACATGTGCCTATATTTTACTGCTGAAGTTTTTGTGTGTTTTGAATAAACAATGGCCAGTTCAGTTACAGCATTAATTAAAAATGAATGGCCCACAGATTGGTTGAGATGTTCTTACATGGCTCTTTTACTCATTGAGTTTGATGGCCCCATCATCAGCAGATCGCAAGTTCAATCTCTGGTGATGCTATGGCCATTTGTGCCCGGGAGTCCAAGAGAGCACAACTGGCTTCACTCTCAGGGTGGGCAGGATGGCCCCCATCAACCAGCACGATGCTAGACGGCGCAGGCGTCTGTTATTCCAAACCATTGACCTCTGCATTTAACCCATCAGTGCAGTGAAACACCCACATACATGCACACTAGAACAGACACGCGCACACACACACTAGAGGGCAGTGAGTACACCTGCCTGGGGTGGGGGGCAGCCCTATCTACGGTACCCAGAAAGTCCATTGGGGGTTAGGTGCCTTGCTCAAGGGCACTTCAGTCATGTCTTGACGGCTCAGGGAATCGAACCAGCAAACTTCCAGTCACAAGGCTGGTTCTCCAGACCACGACTGCCCCTGTTAGCTGACACAACAAAACTGGCGTTTTCCTCCAAACGCGTTGAGCTGTCCAATGACCTCGCGTTAGTGGTCATTCGCAAAGACACAGCGGTGCTTCACTGCGCTAGCTTTCAGCCTCCTAGTGCTGGTGGTATTGTGTGATTGGGGGAGTCCTAACTAGTGGGTGGAATTGGAGACGACTAAATTGGGGAGAAAACTGGGGGAAAAAAGGTCTAGTCTATTTGGCGATAAAAGCTGCACTTCAACTACAGCTCTGCCTTTAGTCACATCCTTAAGGACACATCTTTGGTAACACACACCACATCACTGGCATGTTGCTGTTTCGGAACAAAACCTCGTATCTCCAAAATGATAACTTTACAGGAGAAGGAAAAAACATACTCTACTTTTAACATAAGTCAATGGAACCACACTTTCTTCCAAGTCATTTTAGTTTCTTTTGGGCCATTCCTCATGAAATTTACACACAATATAAAGGGCATGGAGATACAAGGTCTTGTTCTGATAGCAGCGTACATAAGCACAATCTAACTTGCTTGCAGATATGACCTAAACTTTCACACTTTATAGCTTTATTAAAACACAGTCAGCATGTCTCTGAAATGTTGGTCTGTACATTTTCTTTGTCTTCCTATGATAAAACGTAATACTTGAATACTGATTTCAGTTCTCAAATGCTGGCACCACTAAAAGTTAACAGAGCACTTATGTATCCGAGCACGTCCCAGATAATTTCCTGTTTTATCTCACCATCCTACCAACGACATATCACGGAGAGAAAATGCTTAGTTCAAAGACCCTCCCTGATAACACGTTTCACTCACACATACGTTGCAGTATGGAATGAAAATGCTTTATGATTTATGCATTTATGCTGACTTTAAATAGTAAGAATATGTAAAATGGATTAGACTGCTTCAGTATAAACATAAGTTTGAACTTTAGCTGCAACACTGTGAGTAAAATGTCTCCCCATCATGCAACACCACAGTATCACTAAGTGAGACCAAGACAACAATTAGCACCCAACACAAACAAAATCCAACACAATCTAACTTATGTTTTCATAACCGCACTGTTAAAAAAAAGTTATGTGACCAAACCGAAGTGGATTAGTCACACTGCGTGTAGATTTCTGATGCCCCACAGAGTGACATTTATTGCAATTAGTTGTCCCGAAAGGTTGAGGCATCTTGTTGTATGAATATTTTATGAGTTCTGTGTAAAAGCACAGCCTGTGAAATCTCCCTTTACATGGGAGAAATGTTGGGAGTGAAGAAGACACCACATTAAAACATTTCCGCAAAACTTCCAGTCAAGCATCTGTAAACGTAGCACAATCGCATTATTTAATAACAATAACCTGGCATAAAAGGACTGTTCTCATATCATACTGGAAGTGTCATGAAGCTCAGTATTCAGTCTAGACATCCTCTCAGAGGCACTCTTGTAATTTAATGTTTAACTTCCTGCCCTGCATCTCAGAAAACAGCATGAATCCACTGTTAGCCACACCAATACAGATCTACCCTGACCTCTATACAGCTTCCTAAACTCTTTTCAACATTTACAATAGAAAAAAAAAATACAAATTTTATTTTGCTTTTAAATAAACATAAAAAGCTTAACAAAGAGGAAATAGCATAACATCCCGAAATATGATCCTAAATGTCTTTTAAACAGGGCAGTAATTCTGTTGATATCATTAGCCTTATGTAGATCACTGTACCAGCACCAGCACACTTCTGTCAATGCATTCACTTCTGGTTGTTTATACATCAAACCATCCAGCAACACAGTGATGCAATACACCATAAGAAAGCTTGACATCTCAGGATTTTATTGCCACTATTTTATGATCTGTTATTCACAGCAGTAACAATTGTCTCTTTCGCAACACAAGCACCAAATGTGCAAACACTAGCAAATCTGTAGGTCCTTACAATCAAAGCCTCGCAGCTCTCCAGAGACTTCATAATCCAAAATGTGGCCTTGATAACATGACAAGAGTTAGAGATCAGTTTAGAGATCTATGAGTGAGACGGAAATAACCTGCTGCGTTCTAGCCTCCGTTACTCTGCGTCAGTTATTCATACAGTTATTCTCATGGCTATGAAAAACACTTGCTCGTTACCTTTCAAATGAGATTAAGATCATGACTGTAGTATGCGGGAAAGGTGCTCCTTTTACTTTAGGTATAATATTGCAGGCAAAAATGGGGAGACTTAACACATTAAAGTATTGAATTTCCATACCCAGCCGTGGTGGCAGGTGCTGCAATGCTAGGCATTAACTCATTAGGGCCTATGATATCAGATGTGATTACTCTGCTACACTTTGCAATTGTGATATGACATGCACATTAGTGAACATGCCTTAAAAGACTAACCTGCACTATTGCGGTTAAAAATCATATTTAGTGGGTCACACAAATACCTTGACTCACAATTTGTCTTAGATTGGCCCAAATGTTCAGAGCACATAGCACTGACTGGTAAGAAGACTCGGCATAATATGGCAACCCTAACAATATCATGAAGACTTAATTAAAATACAAAGCCTAAACTATTTAAAGCATGGCATCCCAACACTGTGATAACGATTATGAACCGAGGGAGGTAGACGCAGGGTGGTAAAAGGTGAAAACTTTTCACTATTTTACCATCACTGCTACACATAAAACCTCAGAAAACATATTTGGGTTCACTAGTGGTTTTGATAGTAAATAAAATGGCTATATTTGTGTTTTAGACAGTGAGACCCCTGGTTCCTATCACCACCACTGTAAAGAAATCTGAGTCAGTTAGCATAGAGACCCCACCTACCAGCCACTTCAAAACAAAAAAACTGGTAATCTAAGTTTATTGTAAATAAATGAAGACACTTCACTCATCCAAATGAATGGTCTTCAGGATAGATGTGTGTAAACTAACATCCAATGTTTTTTTCAATAATTATGCTTTTTAATGTGGGAAAGATGCTCATTGTACTGTGGGTATAATATTTCAGGCAAAAATGGGGTGACTTAACACATTTGAGTATTGAATTTCCATATCCAGCCATGACGGCAGGTGTTGTAACGCTAGCCATTAACTCATTAGGGCCTATGATGTCAGATGTGATTATTCTGTTACACTTTGCAATTGTGATATGACTTGCACTCTAGATTGATGGCCGTCCCCCAATATCGGCCAACACCGGTCACTTTAGGTTTTCCGTAGCTCACCTTCCTGTTTCAAACAGCGAATTGTGTTTACAAGGAGATTAAGTTTGTCCTCTGTGGGCATCCCTACTCTGTATATGTGACACTAGTTACCATGGCAGCAAACTTTTCACCTCAGAATGAAGAAAGCTAACCAGTCAGACTTTTACACTAAGACAAATATTAGCGTGAAATGGTAATAGTGCTGTGGGTTCCTGCAGTTCTGTACACGCTGAATTACAACATTGTTAGTGACACTTAAATACTGTTTTCAGATGTAATTTGTTCATGAATAAAAGAGAGCGAGGGGAACTACACAATACACAGAAGTGGACCATGCAAAGAACCATTTAAGCATGAAAAGGCTCAAAACAGAATTGATAGTTCTACATAAAACCATACACAACACATTCTCCATCAATCTGAAGAACAATTGCACCATGCAAAGAGCCATTTAAGGATAAAATGGTTATCTATAGAACCATATACAACACATTCTCCATCAGTCTGAAGAACACAGGACGCATGGTTCTAAACAGAATTTCCTCTACTAAAGAACCCTTGAAGAACCACCTTTAAGGGTGCAGAATAAAGATATGACTCACTTCGTCCTGAGGACCTGCCAGGCCGCCTCGATGTCCGCGTACAGGTTCTTCTCGCTGGGCTTCCCGGTGCTCACTCCGTAACCAGAGTAGTCGTAGGAGAAGACGTTGCAGTTGATGCGCGAGCCCAGGCCGATGTAGAAGCTGCACATTTGGCCGAGGTCCACGGCGTTTCCGTGCGAGAACAGCACCGTGTACCGGCTGCCCGGTGCGCAACGCACGAACATGCAGCCCACGCGGTTCCCCCGGCTGGTGCGCGTGCTGAACACCTCCACGGCGTCCAGCTCGCGCTGCGTGTACTGCCAGTCCGCGCGCTCGGTGAGGTGTAGGCTGCATGAGCCGTCCGCGGCCGCGCGCACCGAGTAGGTGGGCTGGGGCGGCAGAAAGGCGAGCTTGGCCGCGATGCGGCTCGGACACGGCGGGCAGCAGAAGAGCCAGCACAGCTCGCCGAGGGAGAAGCCGCTCATCCTGGGGCCGCGCTCGGGCATCGGGGTCGCGGAGAGCCGCTAACGGGTATAATCACGGAAAGGGAGCCGAGCAGCTCGGTTACACTCTCAGGCACAGAGACGGACAAATAAACAAGACAGCGAGGCTGCGGCGCTAACGACAGCTGACTAGCTTTCCTTTACGAGTTCACAACAGCAAACTGAGCAGCTCGGCGCACATACAGTCACAGAGGAACGACTGTAGACGTGTAAACAAACAAATAAACAAAAACCACAAACAAATGAACGAAAACCGCAAACAAACAGGCTGAGCAGACGTTACTGAGACTGATAGCGTTAGCTAGCGCTTAGCAGTTAGCTGCCCAGCTTCCCTCTCCCGCTTTATGGCTTCATTCATCAACCTGCTCGGTTGGCAACGGTTTGTAAATCACACTAAATCTGTTAAGTCCTCCTCATGCGCTCCCAGCAGCTGCCGGTCGATAGTTTGGAGAATTAAAGCAAACAATGCCGTGTTTTTCCTCATTTAAAGCCTTAGCTAACGCTGTTTAATGTGAGCAGCCATTCCCGACGCCACACTCAGAGCTTCCGGTCAAAGCGGATGAAGACGACTACGTCACGACTGTGGTGAAAACATTAAATATGATGGTGTTAAATCATTCTTTACTCACAAACAGAGGTTTTCAAATTCTCAGCCAACCCTGTCCGTCTTCTCGAGGGAATTTCCATCACTTTTCCACTCCTTACATTTTGAAGAAACAAAGAAAAGTAATAGATGTTTGAATTACTATGACCAGCTTTATGGAGAGAAACTTGATTAACTGGCTTTTCCTCTTGTATGTGTATGTGTGTGGGTGTATATGTGTATGTTTCTAAGGAAAGTTAAAAATCAGAGTGAACAGATGGCTCTTCAACTCAATAAACAATGGTTATGAAAACCCCTAACATTAAAATAAATACTAATAAACAAAACGCTGCTGTTGGAACAAAACCTTGTATCTCCAAAATGATAACTTTACAGGAGAAGGAAAAAACATACTCTACTTTTAATGTAAGTCAATGGAACCAGACTTTTTTCCAAGCAATTTTGGGCCAATTCTTTCAGTCCATTCATCATGAAACGTACATACAATTTAAAGAGAAACACACACCATCTAAACCGCATATCCTTCTGGGTCATGGTGGATTGCTGGAGCCTATCCCAGCTGTCATTGAGTGGAAGGCAAGATACACCCTGGACAGCTCACCAGTCCATCGCAGGGCAAACAGACAGACATACACCCACACACATTCATACCTAGGGGCAATTCAGCATGTCCAATCCACACAGAAAGGACCCTGGTCGCCCGGCTGGGAATCGAACCCAGGCCCTTCTTGCTGTGAGGCGACAGCACTACCCACTGCGCCACCGTGCCACCCTGTTTGTTAAATTAACCATTTCCAAAGCTTTCCTCAAGGAAGTCCAGCAGTTATAGTTACCATCCAGTACATAGATTATCTAATCAATCCTTCATTAAATTCACCCCTTAAAATCCCAGGCTTATTACATAAGCCTTATTATTCAGTAACTACAAGGACTTCAATGCGAACTGGCTGAATTATTCTTAGGTTATAGAAGTGTGTAATAAAACTTTGGCCTGCTGGTCGGCCCTGGCCATTTAAGGGGCTGAATCAGGTGAGCTACTGATGGAATTTAACAATCCATACAGAGTAGGAAAGGGACCAGACCTGTGTTCTTCTTACTAAGATACTAACTACAACGAGTCTCCTTACTGCAGAGATGGTACTGATCTCACTGAGCTCCTGCTGCCTGAACTGTGCTGAATCACATCACCACTCCTGTTAATACACACTGTGCAATATATCATAACCTGCCACTGCAATGACACTTTCACTGCGCACTTCAGGCTGTACATATGGATGCTATTTCTGGTTATGTTTATACTCATTGTGTTGTAAGTATCTCATATCATTGCAATACCTGCTCTCATGATAATACAACAAATCTGTCTCACATGCCGTGTATTTATGCAAATAGATATACTTTCATTCCTGCTCTCTACTTTACTCTAATTTATGTCTATTTTTTATTTCAGCCTAATTTATGTCTATTTTAATTTCTTTTCTTATTTCTGCCTAATATTTATAAGTTTATGTGCAATTATATGTGTTGCTGCTGTAACCCTGTAATTTCCCTGTGGGATCAATAAAGTTCTTTCTTTCTTTCTTTCTTTCTTTCTTTCTTTATTTCGTTCTTTCTTTCTTCCTTCCTTCCATCTTCTTTCTTTCCTTCCTTCCTATTTTCTTTCTTTCTTCCTTTCTTTCTTTCTTTCTTTCTTTCTCTCCTTTTTCTTCCTTCCTTCTTTCCTTCCGTCCTTCCTACCTTTCTTTTTTGCCTTCCTTTTACTTCCTTCTTTTCTTAATTTCTTTTTTCTTTCTTTCTTCTCTCCTTCTTTCCTTCCTTCCTTTCTTTCTATTTGTTCCTTCCTTCCTTCCTTTCTTTCTTTCTTACTTTCTTTCTTTCTTTCTTTCTTTACTTCCTTCTATCCTTTCTTCCTTCTTTCTGTCTTTTGTTCTTTCTTCCTTCCTTTCTCTCTTTCTTTCTTTATTTCTTTCTCTCTTTTTCTTCCTTCCTTTCTTTTTTTTCTTTCTTCCTTTCTTCCTTTCTTTCTTCCTACCTTTCTTCCTTTCTTTCTTTCTTTCTTTCTTTCTTTCTTTCTTTACTTCCTTCTGTCCTTTCTTCCTTCTTTCTGTCTTTTGTTCTTCCTTCCTTCCTTTCTTTCTCTATTTCTTTCTTTCTTTTTTCTTTCTTTGTTTATTTCTTTCTCTTTTTCTTCCTTTCTTCCTTCCTTCCTTTCTTTCTTTCTTTCTTTCTTCCTTCCTTTCTTTCTTTGTTTGTTTCTTCCTCTCTTTCTTCTTCCTTTCTTCCTTCCTTCCTTCCCTCCTTCCTTCCTTTCTTTCCTTCCTTTTTCTTCCTTTCTTTCTTTCTTTCTGTTTTCTTTCTTTCTTCCTTCCTTCCTTCCTTTCTTCGTTTGTTTATTTCTTTCTCTCTTTCTATCTAAATTTACTGAAAAAAAATCTTGTTTTAGTGCATTTATGTTTATTTGTATTTATTCCAATGTTGTATCATATTTTTATTGGCAAAAACACACTTACAATGAGATAAATAGTTTTCAACTATTTGCATAGCTGCCTAAGACTTCTTCACAGTTCCGTGTGGGCGAGAACGTTAAGAATTCTTGGAAGAACTCTTGGCATATCTTCAATGACGGACTTTATTTAGGCTTAGCATCGACATCACTTAAGTAGTGGCCAAGAAGTACATGGGGCCTCAAGTAAGAAGGATTACTAACAGCTGAAGGGATGATCCTTATTTTCTAGATAGCAATTCTGCAGATATTGGAGAGAGAACATAGCTGCTGCTGAACTATGGGATTTGCCCAGAAGGCAGTTCAGATGCTTGGGAACTGGACTGGGTGCTGATTACTCTAACCTGTCTGTTGAAAGTTTTTGAAGAGATAAGATGGACCCTCTTCATGCACTGTGCATGGCCTGGATTCTTAATGAGGCTGAACCAGGTTTTGGCATTTTTTGTCAATCCTGCTCCACAAACGTGCTCTGTATGTTAAATATCCTCTCATTTCACCTAAAGGTCACATAACAGTGGCTGATATGACGTCACTGTAGACGGTATTTTGATATGTAGTAATCTCGAGATTTGCACTGACTTCAGTGGATCTGAAAGGAATTCTAAGCTCTTCGCTTCTCTGCCAGATTTTACATGCTGTACCACTATGTACCACGTAAGTAATGCTCATTTTTCTGAGCCCCTTTTCACAAGAGCCTTTAAATGCAATTTCCATCTGTTTTGGAGTCCCCTCAGATGAACTATGCATTTTTTTTTCTCTTGAAAACATTGATGGAATACATTTCCATGTAAATATATATATGACAAACTAGATTTTCATCTTCATAGTTCAGCAAGCAGGTCAACATTTATAAAAATGTATTTATTGTTTTAAGTGCTGCTGTTTTAATGTGTTGCCATTAAATGTGTACACGACTGTTTGATATGAAGAAAGCTGCAGCTCTGCTGTCCGTTTTATTTCAGTCCAGCCGTCTATATGAAGAGGTTTAAATTATTTTCACAGCAGGGGGTTCTCACCTCAACACAGAGTCACATTTCCAACACCTTAGGAACCATATAGCAACACTCCAGCACCTGGAATGCCAAATCAATTGCTTAGCAACATGCTCTCACCCACCTGGAACACCATATCGACCATTTAGTAACCACCTGAGGTAGTACAGCAACCACCTACCAACACCTTAGCAACCACCTGCAAAAAGAATCAGTAAGCAACACCAGCAACCACCCAGAATACCACAGAACCCTGCTAAAAAAACAGCATGGCTGGTCACCAGCAAAACCAGGATATGTGTTTTGGATGCTGGTATGCTGGTCAACCATCATGACCATGACCAGCTAGTCCAACACTAGACCAGCAAAAAAACAGCACAAACCAGCTTAGACTGGCATGAAAGCAGGTAAAACGGCAGGGAAACCAACTAGCAACACCCTTGCAACCACCTGGAATATCATAGCAACTGCAGTTTAAACCACATGTGTCAGGCTCCATGCCTTACAAGACAAAACACACTCAGCACACTGCTTCATTAAACACACCTGATTCAGCTCATCAGCTGATTAGCTAGGCCTTCCCGCAGCACTTTAGCCCAGAAGTTCCCCACGCCTGGTTTAAATAGCCAAACCACAAAATTAACCCCTTTAACTGAACCCCAAAACAACCACATAAACACAGAATGAACAGCCCACTACCTTTTGGCACTAAACTCAGAAACAATCTACAAATGCAATGTTATTGTCTGGCCTTCTCAATCCAAATTAAAGTTCTTTTACACACTCTTAGAAAAAAGCTATGAAACTGTCACTGGGGCAGTACCCCTCTTGTCACTGAGGTGGTCCCCTCAAGGGTACATCTCAGTACCTTTAGTCAGGGAATATAATTGTACCATAATCCATTGAAATTATATTTTCTAAGTTGTATTGACTCCACACACCCCGTCTCATCTCCAGGCTTTTTATTTTACTGTTCTGTTTTAAAACATTAGATTGTGAAAGATACAAATACAAACTTTTTACCTGGAAAAACTTATTTAAGGTATGCAACTGGACCTTAAAAGCACTGCTGTATCTTTAGAGGAACATTTACAAAAAAAAGCAAAATAAAAACAAAATGCAATGATGTGCATATCATTTAAACCTTATATTTAATTGAAAATGCTTCAAAGACAACATATCAAATGTTGAAACTGAGAAATTTTATTGTTTTTTGAAAAATATTTGCCCATTTTGAATTTGATGTCAGCAACATGTTCCAAAAAAGTTGGGAAGCGGGGCAACAAAAGGCTGGTAAAGTTGTGTAATGCTTAAAAAACATCTGGTGGTTAAAAGGCAATAGGTCAGAAACATGATTGGGTATAAAATGAGCATCCCAGGGAGGCTGAGTCTTTCAGAAGTAAAGATGGGGAGGGGTTCACCACTCTGTGAAAGACTGTGTGGGC